TTTATAAAATAGGTATAAGCAGAGCTGATGTAAGGATTAATCAGTCAATATATTTAACAGTGCCTGACACACAAAGAGGGTTAAGATACATACATTCTACATACATATGGATGTATATTATTATTAATAAAACATACTATATTGTTTTACTTGTGTAACCACATTTGCATTTTACATGCTGGTTCAAAAGGCTTTCCCCACAGCAATCCCTATGGAAGAACACTCTGGAGTAGTAATTTTAAATGACATGGTCTCTTAGGTAATCCAATCAGTTCAACAAAGCATTTCTTTCCAAGTAGAGTGGAAGCTCTAAGAAGCCTTTTTTCCCCAATTCCTTCTATTCTCATATACAATTCTAAACATAGCAAAAAAAATGCTCATAAATACTAAACGAATATATATTTGGGGGCTTTGGGTAAAATTTTGTGGGCACCCTTTATTCAAGGTTAAGAGGGAATAGAAGACCTCAGTGCAAAGGACAGCTACTTCATGAACATGAAGGGTGGATGGCTCAGGAAAGGAGGAAATAAGCTGAGAACAGCACACAAAGTCAGACAGATGAGCCCATTATGATTATGACGCAAAAGTGGTAAGGAAAGTCTTGTCCTAGAATAGCAAAAGGTTCCATTTCTGATGTCCTCTGAAAATACTACCTCCTATCAGGCAGGCCTTCTACAAAGCAGCTAGCTATTCTGTGAAGAGGAGGTAGGGAGAAGTAAGAAAGTAACACGTTTCAAATAAGAAAGCAGAGGTACTAGAATAATGCCCAGGAGAAAAAAAAGTAAGGAAGGCCAAGAAAAAGAGAGAACACTCCAAAAGTGATGAGCTCAGATGTTAAAGTTCACAACAGCCTTTCTACCTGGAGATCTGGACAGAGTATAGAAGCCTTAGGTATAACCTTTGACCCAATTCCACTTCAAGGAATGTATCCTAAATAAATAGAGACAAAAAGAAAAAAAGAAAAATCAGCTATGAAGATGTCCTACTTAATGGCCAAGAGGAAAAAAAAAAAGATACAAGCTAAGCTAAATTAACTGTACATAATGAAAAACTGACAACCACTAAAAATGCTGTTGGATATATACAAGTATTTATTGGCATGGAAAGATATCCTCAATACATTGTTGGACGAAACAAGCAAACAACAAAACAGAATATACAGTTTTACGTCATTTTTCCGTGACCTCTAATTCTTTATATTGATATTCATAACTCTAGATTTCCTACTTGGAATATCAAAAGTTATCCCTGGCTGATTTAGTCTTTGTACTTTTTCTCCCTTTCCTAATTTCTCATTATTATTACTACAGTACTTGTATAAAAGAAAAATACTTTTTTTTAAACAAAAATCGTGCACCAAAAAAATGGATGAGCTACTTAACCAAAGATGAACGTAAAAGATTGGAACAGTCTTCTAAGGATGGCTAAAGACAAAAATAATCTAAATATTTAAATGTTTAATACTTTTACATTATGTCTAAGCAAGAATAAGTAAAAGCCTGTTGGTTGAGTCACAATGGTATCACGTTAACAGTTGAAAAAAGAAGATAACAGGACAACCTCCACTTGGCATCCATTCTCCAGCTGGACAGAGTCTTCGAATGGATAAAGTCACAGTAAATACCTCCCTAAGGGACCGAAGAGGTGGTGAGAGAGCACTCAGCCACTCTGGATGCACTGGAGTCTCTGAGATCCAGATTAATAACAGCTCAAAGCGTAAAAATAAGTCAGCAACATTCCTACAAAATTAGTGTTAGGAATATGTGGAAAATCAGAGACCAGGTAGAGAGGGAGAAAACTGGAGAAGCACCAATATCTGTTGTGTTGGAATCAGATGTAAAATCAAAATCTGGCTGCCTCTTCCTTGCTCTGCAGATACACAGAAAATTTATTAACCTTTCTGAGCTTCAACTTCCTGATTCATAAAAGAGAAATAAAAACATAACTCCCTGAGTATTGATGGGGATAAATAAAATAATGCTCGTAAAATGCCTAATTAGGTACCAGACACATAAAAGGCACTCGATAAATACATGGTAGATACATACATATTTTATAAAAGTCTGGGTCTAGAAACTAGGCACCTGTATGTTTATATCTGACCTTATTTTATTCCTTAATTTTCCATTCATAATTTAAATTTGGGATTCTATATTCATCAATAAGGAGTAGGCAAGAAACACTGATAAGCCATCTGAAAGGCAGAGCTAGGAAAAGGCTGGGAGGAAAACAAAATACCCTCCAGAACCTGAGACTTGCAAAGAGCCACAACACCTGGTCTAAGAAAGATTTCCATCCTTTTAGTAAGGGAGGCATTTTCCTTGGGGAGCATGACAACAAATAAAAAACTGCAAGCTTTTCAGTTTTTTATTCTGATTCACAAGAATAAGCCAGGGATATGCACTACAGCCCTGGAGTCTCTTTAGAGCTTTTGGGACACTCATTTCAAGCCAGCTAAGGAAGTGCTTGCAGAAGTGGTAGGAGGGGGACATGAGTTAATGGTATTGGAGCTCAGCTAAGAAATCTAAGAAGACAGTTTCTGGAAGTTAGAAGCATTTTCAGAAGTTAAGGAAAGGAGAAAACAATCAAAACCCAAAAGCAACCTCTAGCCATCTATAAAAATTCTTTACAATTCCTGCTGAAAATGCATTGCTACTCAATTGAGGATTAAGTTCACACATAAAAAGGAAATAAACTAAGCAATACAAATTATAATGAAAGAGACTCACAAATTCTTTTCTACTTCACTTTATTTTGAAATTACTTTCTAATTATCTAGAGGCTCTATAAGACTGGGTTTGTGTCCTGACTGAATCACCAACAATATGACCTTGGGCAATTTACATAATCTATCTGGCTTCAGTTTCCTCATGTGCAAAAACTACTACTACTTCATAGGGTTGTTGTGAGGACTAGATGAGTTATAGATAAACACTCAGAACAATGTCTAGGCATTATGTAAATATTTGTCATTATCATTATCTCATTAAATTCTATGCAGTTACATTATAAACAGAAGTGGATTTTTTTCTCTCTCTCTCTTTATACCTTCACTGGGAACAGAGAAGTTGATTTAAAAAAAAAAAAAAAAACTCTATTAAAAATGAAGAAAACATAATTGTCTCTGAAAGCGTGAACTATTATTCCATGGGTATATTCCTGAAATATTCCAGGCCCAATTTCATTGATAGGATGACTGACAGCTATGCTGGCCTTTTATTTTGGGTTGTACAGGCAAAAGCTGTTATTTTCTCACTCTATATCCAGGGCTAAGAGTGAGATTTACATGTGAAGATATTCAATTAACCACTAAAATTTTTTTAACTTGTACTTATTATTTTTAATAGGTGATACACAGACTTAGTATAAAATTCAAAGAGAACAAAGTTTATAGGGAAAGGAAAATTTCCCTTCCTCTCCTATACCGGCTTCCCAATTCTCTACCTCAGAGGTAATGCTATTACTTAGTTTTCATTTCAAAAAATGAAGTATCATTTAAAACAGGAGAACACAATAGCATGTCCAGACAATTGGTTATTATTTGCTATGAGAAATATTGTTAGGAGAAATCTTTAATAGCATACTGAAGACCCTACACCAGAAAGTGAAAAAAACACAACGTTATATTTTAAGTATGATTCCAATTCAGTTTAAAAATGCTCATTAAAAACATGGAAGAAATATGTCCAAGCACTAAAAGTGGCTGCTTCTGTATTGTGAGATTAAGGGTTTCTTTCCCTGCATCTATCATATGTTTTAAAAAGAACTTATTTAAGGATGTTCTAAACTGAACACCTATTTCATAGCCAAGAAAGAAAATTACTCGGATGTCATATAATTTCTTCTCATTATTATTGTTTAATACTGCCACCAAATCTGAACCTAATATTTGGCTTTGGAGTATGACTATCTTAAAAATTTCCCACCCTCCCATTTCCAAAATGGAATTGAAGAAAAGATACAAATTACAATTAAAAGGTGACGAAGACTTTTTTGTCTTACATAAGCACTTCATGTCTTTCATCATCAAACAATTGCTCTTTTCAGGGTAATCACTTCAGGAAACCACACACTTATTTTTAAGGCAAGCCAGTTTAGATTTCTTTTTCTGGAAAGACTCCATAGCCAGTTTGCAAAGCCATACAAGCCAGAGAACCTCAATCTTTATATTTATACAGTGTAACCCAAGTCACCTGCATAAAAAGTGCATTTGATATTTCAGCTGGGTGGCATATTAATAGAATAGACTACACAGCTGTAAAAATCAACTAAAGCTACATATGTAAGTATGGCTGAATCTCACAAATAAGGCTGAGTAAAATGTTTAGTATGATACGATTTAGATAAAGTAAAAAAGATGCAAAATGACACTGTACATTATTTTCAGAAGAGAGAGAATCACACCCAGGCACTGAGGCTTCATTCCTCTCAGCTCAGGTAGGAAGGATGGGGAGCAGAGGGCTGCTGACAAGGTTCCACTGGTGCTGGCCCGGAGTGTCTTGAAAAGGACCAAAGCTCTCCACTACCCCTTGTGCTGGAGAAGTGGGTGCACATGTGCAGACTCCCATTGATTAAGATGCACTGTATATGGTGAGAGAGGCCGTCCCAAACCACTCTGCCTCTTCAAAGCCGTCATGGGCATGGGGGTGGTAATCTCAATTTATCATGTCCAGTTCATCATCTGCTCTTTGGAACTACACAAAGTTTACAACCGCCATTGGGATAAATGAGGAAGGGCTTTGTGTTTGGATACTTCTCTCTTAAAACTGGAACTGAGGACACCAGGTAGTGGTTGTGGCAGTCTCTACCTGTGAGTGCCAGCGTCCTGGCACTGAACAGGAAAGCAGTCATGGCTTCCCTCACACACCCACCTGAGGCCAGCTTCTGGGCAATCCCAACAAATAAAAGCCTTAGAAAGCAGCATTTCTGTGATTTAAATCAAAGGGCTACTGGAAGGCTGTGCAGTACTCTGACAGAGGAACACGGGAAAGGGAACTTACAGAGAGGTCAATAACTGTCTTGACGGCCTTTTCTTTTCTCTTCATGAAGTCCTCATCCTGCAAGACAAAACACAGAGATTAAACAAATCTCGTGTGATGATTACAACTCAACTGTACCACTCAAAAAATTAGCCTTTATAAATTGACTTTTCATCATACTTTGCCTGAAAAGAAGTCTCAATTTTCTAACAAATTGTAATGCATTCTCCATGGGAAAAGACTAGGACTTCTGCAGTGGCTCCAACACAGATCCCTACAGCCATTAACAAAAAGTGTGGCCATTTGAAGTGATAGGAGGTCCAGTTTCAACGCTGGGATAAAACCAAGTAGGGGCAAAGATGTCAAGCAGGGGGGTGGGGCATGGGAAGCCTGAGCTTACTCTGTTCCTTCCTGGGTAGTCTCTAAGTGTGCACTCATGGTCTTAGTTGGACAAGAAAAGAAAAGGACAATACTGACCTCAGGGAGACTGTAGGTTTTCTGGAACTGAGATATAGAGTAGGAGCGGATGTAGTCGCCCATCTCTTCTTTTGTTTCTATGGCTCGTTTCACCAGCCACTGGGGAAGAAGTGAGGAAACATGAGTTGATAGGGATGAAACCCCACTGCAGTGAAGGCCATCTCAGAGATAGCACAGAGTGTGAACCCAAGTCAGCATGGTTGAACTGATTAGGCGATAAGAAACTATCAACACACACTGTCCTACAGGAAAAGCAGATGGTTGGGCATCCGAGATGCTGAGATGCAGTGGAGCCAAGTGCAGGAGCTTTAAGGCCTTACTTCATACCTCAGGCCTTGATTTGCCTCTCTGTAAAGGTAAGAATATCAGTTCCTTTCACCTCACAAAACTACTGTGGGAGCAAATGAAATCACAAGTACTAGAGTGCTTTGTAAATACCTGAGGCACAAGACAAATACAGCTGTTCCCCCCACCACCCGGTCCCAGTAGCAGATCCTAATATAAATCTCTTTCCTGTGCTGCTTGTACCACAAACCAGGGAAAGGGAAGAGAACCACAGAGAACACTAGTATTAACTCCTCATTTGACAGATCAAAGAAAGTCCAAAACATTCGGATTTGGTAACAGTGCATACTGAATACAAAGCCTGATGCGTTGGTATTGATATTCACGACACCCTCTCTCTTAATCCTCACACTATAAGGTAGATGGTACTGGCTGAATTTTACAGAACTTGAAGTGCAGAAAGACTACATAATTTGCTCATTGATCCACAGCAAGCAAGCTGCCAAGCTGGGAGTCACAAGTTGGAGGCTCTTCCACACCAGAAGACTAGACAAATGGGTTTTATTAAATGTCTCCCAGCTCTACTGCACTGATACCTGGTAGCAGCTGTTCTGCATTTCTCTCAATTTAAACCTCCCAGTTAATTAAAACATGCACACACCCCACCCCAAAACCTAAAGATCAGGTGCTCTGAGGGTAAGAGTGTAAAGTGCAAAAACAGCCTTTGCTTCTCCTCCCTGGCTCTTCATTCACTCCCTTTATTACTGAAGAACATTACATAGGGGATGCCATCTGCTAGGGTTGCCACACCCTCTCCAGCAAGGGCTACTACATCTCAAAAGCAGTTTTTGGATAGTAGTTGTGTTTGCCCAAGAGCATAGCACCCTTGGCGAGGTTTAGCTACCTAAGAAAGTAGACATATGGCACATGGCATGGAGCTTCATGGTACTCCCACAGGGATGGGAAGAGATGCTTGTTCAGAGGGCAGTCAGCTCAAGTAAAGTACATGTTCAGGAAGTAGCTGCCCATGATAGGGGTGGCTACAAATAACTAAAAAAGGGAAAATTCCTTTGTTGTAAGTATCTTTCATTTATTGTCACCACTCCACCCCATCACATCCCACCTCCAAATTATGACCTCAAGCACTGACCAAAATCTAGAAGCAGAGGTAGAAGATCAGATAGCATTCAGAACTTTTGTAGACCCTCACTCACACTCCTACCCCAGTATACCAGCCCAGGACAACTAGGGAGATTGACTCATTACTCAACTCAATTTAGCTCTGCTTTCCTTTGAATCAAGAGACCCAGTTTGTGATCGTTCATATCTGTTTCCTCTTCAGATCTGCCTCCATTAATCCCAGGTCTACTCTGAGTTACTACTTGGCTGGATCCTGGAACATGTGGTCAGATAAGGAAGGGAAAGCCTGCTGAGTCTTAGCATTCCCTTAGAGAACTGAAAGCTCTGTTTTGGAGTTCCCAGAGTGAATGGTTGCAGAAGGAACCTCTTGGACAGTCAAGCTCTGCCAAAGAAAGGACCCCTAGTACTCAAGAAAAATACCTCTTTGTGGGATTCACATGTCCAGAATGGGAGAAAAAGATAAGACCTAGAAATACCAGTGGCTGGAAGTTACATCTGGTTTTTTTTTCCTGGCTGGGATTCAGAAAGCATTATTATAGCTTTGCTTAAATGGTGTGGACATGGATCGTGAGTCTCTAGAGTTGAACTGATAATTAGGACAATGGTTCCCAACTGCTGGTCCATGACTGTTCTTTCACTGGTCCCCAGAAAAACAGGAAAAAACTACAGGCACATGGTGAATTTTTCATAATGCTAAATGTATTCGATTTGAAGGACTGTCCTTTTTTTCCAAGATTGGGAATTATTTCTTTTAGGAAATGACAGTAAAAGCAACATAGTAGTTACTTTTAAAAATGTCCTCGCCTTGCAAACTACAGATGGTAGCCCTAGGTCCACCTACACTTTTGCTTTAAAATTTTACAAGTCCATGAAATTAAGAAATCTGATAGTCATTAGCAGAGGCTCTCCTAGACAGGCACCTCTCTCCAGCATTCCAATCACAACGTGGAACATTTGCAGGCCCTCAAAATGCCCAAACTGACCATAGAAAATCACTTCCCAGGGCCGGCCCAGTGGCGCACTGGAGAGTGCGCCGCTTGGGAGTGCGGTGGCGCTCCCGCCGAGGGTTCGGATCCCATGTGGAGACCGGTTCCCGCTCACTGGCTGAGCGTGGTGCAGGCGCAACACATCTCATTGCTGGTCCCTGGTACGGGCGCGACACCAAGGGTTGCGATCCCGTTACCAGTCAGTAAAAAAGACAAAAAGAAGAAAAAAAAAAGAAAATCACTTCCCATTCATCATCTTCTCATATCTAGACTACATTTTTGGCCCCAAAGTTCTAGCATAGGGTTAAATAAGGTCTAATCCCTAGAGATCCCAGCTTTGGGGGGAAAAGTAACAACCTCATAGTATGATGGGTCAGAGGTTTCAGTAATAATAAACACAGGGTCCCAACTTCGCATTTTCTCAAAAAGGATCAGGTACCATCCCTATGCATCAGAGAGAAAAAAAGTCTAACAAACATACAAATCAAATTCTAAGTTAAAGTCTTGGCCTTACATTTACAAATTTCATTTATACATTTATGAATTTCAAGGCATTCAATTTTAAGTCTAGTACAGGAAAGATTTAACATATAACAACAGAAACAACTATATAACACTTATAAAGCACTTACTTCATAAATCAGAGTTAAATCATTTGCCCAAGGAACATGGCTAGAAAGTGGCAGAGCAGACATTTGAACCCAGGAAGTCTCCAGAATCCATACTCTTAACCCCTACATTACATAATCTTAACACAGAGCTAGAATATTTCTCTAGCAAGGGCTGTGCAGCTTCCTTCTCGGTGGCTGCATGGTGAAGTGGGAAAATCACAAGGCTTGGGGACAAAGAGTTCAGACTGGAATCTATGCTGATCCACACACTAGTTCCCTGCCCTTAAACAGATCGATTAGCCTCTCGGAGTCTCACTTCCTCAACGTAAGGGATTATAATACATGCTTCAAATAACTCAATTAGGGTCTGATGAAAAGTACAGTTCACAAAGCAGGCAACAAACCTGAGTCTATGTGCTCCTTCTCTTTTCAAGGTCCCTGGAGAGGAAGCTCAAACACAAGAACCGAACAGAATACAGGGAGCTATACAGCATAAGTCACTGAATCACAGAGCCTCAAGAAGCAACCAGAGGGAAAGAAGTCTCCCAATAGGCATTTAACCATCAAATAAGGAATGAACCTACAAATTGCTAGACACTCTGGTAGGTGCTGAAGACAAAACAGTGAGCAAAACAGCTGTGGTGCCTGCCTTCATGAAGCTTACAGTCTGGTGGGAGACAGATAAATAATCAAACACACGAATGTACATGGTTACAAACTGCAATAAGGATAATTCCTATGAAGGAAGGGAATGTGACAGTATGAGTACATACAGCAAAGGAACCTGTTCTGGATTAGGGGGTGAAGAAAAACTTTCTTAAAGAGGTTTGGTGGAACTGGAATCTGAAGGATGAACAAGTTAAGCAGGTAAGGAGAGAAGGGAAGAGCATTCCACCCCAAGGAACCGGCAGTGCAAAGGCCCTGTTACAGGAGAAATTATAATAGGTATGGTGAAATCTGAAAGAAAGTCAGAGGAGCTAGAACAGAAAAAACAAAGAAAACCAAGGAATGAAATCAAGCCACATAGCTGGAAGGGACCGGAGAATACAGGGCTAAGAATTTCTATCTTAACCAAAAGGCAGCGAAAAGCCACTGATGAGAACATTCAAAGAGCTTAACAGGTGACAGTGCAAAACTAGAGTATACAGAACATTGGCAACATTTTGAGGATGACGACAAGAAACACCATCATGTCCTGCTGCACCAAATCTGTACCACAGCACTTATTCAGGACCCAAGCCAGATGGCCCTAAGGCCAGACCTGTTACAGGAATTCTGATGTTCAGAGGACAAGAAACCATACAGAAGCTCTCACCTGAACAACTGGAAATATGTGAATAAAATCCATCCCCTGGATCTGGTGGGGCTCCAGCTGGTGTGGACATTTCATCCTTGGCAGGACTGAGACAATTTTTTCTGACAGAGCTCTGTTTGGAAAAAACAAGCAAAAAGTGAGACACACTAAGTGGCCCTTACGGCACTTCTAAAGTCTGAGCAGCATCCACAAGAATCTGGAGGCTTCTCAATGCCAGGCCATTGCCAGACCAGGACAAAGTTTCTCCTGGTTGACTGCAAAATGAGAAAAATAAGCACAATTTAGATGGATGTGTATGCACATAAGGTCACAAAACTGCCTTCATCCTTTATTGTAAGATTTTGTTCTTTCTATTTTTTTTGATGTTAAAATATTTTCTTTATGAAAGGATGATGTTAGAAATAGTTATTAATTTTTAAACATCTTTCTATGGTAAGATAAAAAGTTACCAGTGCTTCATATTCTTTTACATTTCATTTTACTGACCTACTTTATCCAAAAGTCTGGGAACCACTAGATTAAACAGTAAAAAAAAAAAAAAATTCTCAATATCTTTCAGGCAACAATTATCAGACCCTATGCCAGGTACTCAGAATATTAACACAAACATGGGGCCTCATTTCCAAAAGAAGTTCAAAGTTCTCTACTCTGGAACAAAAATATTTTTAAAATAAATAGTAGCCTTTAATTTTTTCAGTACTCTAAAATTAATCCTAGATTTGGGGGAACTTTGTATCCTCACTGTTATTTCCATAGACAGGAGATATTTTCCGCTTCTCATGAAGGACACGCTGACCTCTCTCTAATACCTTGCCTAAGTCCTCCTCCTATGGAATGGCCAGAATTGGGAAGGGAAGTACCCTTCCCCAAAGGGAAGTCTCCCTGACATCTCAGTATTCTTCTAAGTCATCAGCACCCTGTTGGGGAGGTTTCTTAGCCTGGCCTGGACAGTACAGTTTTATGGCAGGAGTGACAGAAGGACTTGTGTGCAAGTCCATTTCATTGCAGCTTTAAGTCTCCTTCTCTAAACAGCTGGTATTTGCTCTCTAACTGTGATTCCTGTTTCTTATATCTTAATTGTATCAGATTTGGAGTAGAGATAAGAGGTTATTCAGTGAGTCTGCTAAACCCCAAAATCATGGTACACAGATGGGAAACCTCGAGAAAGTCACCAGGCATGGCCTTGGGGCCATATGGAGAAATGGAAACTTCTGGCTCGGCCTACATGGACAGTTTAGGTCACACCCCCACCTAAGAGCCTTTCAAAAAAAAATCTTATCGGGCCGGCCCGGTGGCGCTCTCGGTAGAGTGCGGCACTCCCGCCAAGGGTTCGGATCCCATATAGAGACCGGTCTGCTCACTGGTTGAGCGCGGTGCAGGCGCGACACCGAGGGTTGCGATCCCGTTGCTGGTCACGAAAAAAGACAAAAAGGAAAAAAAAAATCTTATCACAGCAGCTAATGTGGCCTTGTTTACAAAATGCAGGACTATGTTCTAATACATGAAGATCCTGGTGAGCAAAGGGTCACTTTAGGTCTTATTAGTTGCTTTAAATTCAACAAGATTTGGGTCTACCAAAAGTGTTCCCTGTTCGAAGAAATCTTGTCCACCTTTATTTTTCTGCGGTTCAGTAATCATTCCCAGGAGACAGACACCCTTAAGACCAACATCTAAGTCAAGCCTGGGTGAGAGCTATTATTGTCTTACCCATGTTCCTATAAGTAGGTTTCATCCCCTCAGTCCTAGTAGGAACTAAGTGGCCTAAAGGCAAATCTAAGCAGCTCCCCAGGGAATGGTCCTCAGAGAACACACAAAGAAACAGCGTTTGGTATCTGGAAAGTAGCTTCACAAGGTGGAACCAAGGTTAAAACTGCTGAGGACAATAGCTACCTCCCACTCATCATCAGATCAAATGTCAAGTCCAGTATTTTAAGAGCAAAATATACAAGGAAAGAAAGATGGATACCCCACTGCACACATGCACAGAAAGGACGGAACATCTACCTCCCAGGAGGGAAGTAATATGAGAACCTTTTCTGCCTCTTTCCCCTGCTCCCTAACAGAAGGGTGAGTGAGGAGTGATTTATTCAAAAGGTCTGAGAACATGAAGGAACTATGTGGCTCTCAGCCCCTCTTCGGGCCCCTCCTTTCTGAGCAGCCTGTCTTTAGGACACACGCATCTTTTCTGCCATGCGATGTGTGGAGATGTGTTTCCTGGTGGAGAAGCCTGTGTGGTGTACAAGTCTGCTTGGGGCTTGAATGGCATAGTGTGATAGACAAGTACTAACAAACTCATTTAGCAACATATCTAAGGTGCTCTCTTTGAAAAGCTTTATTTTTTATTTTGACTCCTATGCCTTGTTTCTTAATTTCTTTGAAACTTGTAAAGGGTACAGATGAGTGTTTATCTGGCACTGCTGCCCAAACTCCAAACTTAGCCAATAAAGATGAGCATCAACGCTGGTTTTGCACCCTTGCTCAATGTAGGGCTTAACTATTTATACATGTGGATCCCAGATCAATATAGCCTTTCCTCTTGGAAGATTTTAATTTCAGCAAGAGAGCCCCCTCTAGAGGCTGCAGATCTATGTGTTTGCATAGGGTTACCCATTGCCTACAATCCCTTGAGGCTGAGACCCCGAACGCCATCCAGCCCAACCCCCTGCAGTTAGACACAGTTCTCCCTGGACACTCCTCAGAGCCAGCCTACTCACTCAGTTCACAAAGGCCCTGAGGAAAGGATATTGTGGGTCATCTTGGGGTTTACAACCCTCTTAAATCAGTCTCCAAGAAATTACTGCCAAGTCTGGACAGTCTCAGCAGACACAGAAGCGCTGAAGGCGCCAACACTGCAAGGAGGTGGGGATGTGGAAGGAAGCACAGGCAGGCTGGAGGCAGGGGAGGAAAGTCAGGAAGATTTCTTACAGAATCTACCAGCCCCAATTTGGTTTCTCCCTGGAGCTCAGGGTAGATCCACCTGACTTTCTAAAAACTGGGAAAAGTGACAACTGCAGAGGTCACCAGGCAGGTTTCCTACTCTAAGATTTTTAATACACTCATTTGTCATTACGGGTGATTAGTTTGATGCCTTTTAAGAGTGTTCACACACCTTTTAACAGTGTTCTGTTCCCTACTCCACTGCAAACAGTGTGAAAGAGAGTGAATTAAACCTGGGTCTAAATTCCAGCACCATCACTCACTCTAGGACTTTTGGCCATCACCCGGTCCCTCTGGTCCAATACTCCCATCATAAAACACGAAATAATCCCTGTCCTGCCTCTTCAAAAGTTGCTGCGGGGCCGGTCTGTGGCTCACTCGGGAGAGTGCGGTGCTAATAACACCAAGGCCACGGGTTCGGATCCCATATAGGGATGGCCGGTTCGCTCACTGGGTGAGCGTGGTGCTGACAACACCAAGTCAAGGGTTAAGATCCCCTTACCGTTTAAAAAAAAAAAAAAGTTGCTGCGAAGGTAAAATAATAAAATGCATGTGCAAGTGCTTGGAACATGGATGCTTAGTAAATGTTGTTGAACTCACTTATAACCAAAATGAATTCATTTCAAGGTAAAAGCCTAAGATCTTATTTATGAGCTTCTGAGCATAGGGCTCTCTGGTAATAAGGCTTTAGGACAAGGTGGGGGTGAAGGATAGAAGCTTATGGAACCCTCAGGAAAGAAACAAGAAGGAGAAAAGGCCCCAACTGTGTGGAATATACTAATATTAATAAAGCAAATGTATTTCATAGGGCCTAGCTTCCAAAGCCCTGTAGTTTCAGGTACAGCCCAACTTTTTAAAATTACACATAAAAATGTTAAGCTTGTGAAAGACAGAAAACTTTCCCCAGGCTAAAGTCTCTGTTGTGGATAAAGAATTGTAACACCAAAATTGCTGGCTCCAAGGGCAGATGTCCTTGGTGCAGCTAATCCTAATGACTATTGCCATGACAATTACCTTACTGTTCTTTTTGTAACCACCTATGTTCCTTTTCTGTAACTTGCTGGCCTGGAGAATAAATACTGAGAGAAGACCCTAGTTCAGTGTTATTTTCCAAGGAATGCTGCTCTCTTGAGGGTTCCTGGAAATTAACCCCTTTGGGGCTTCTCACTGCTCAGAAGAAATGAGCTTTGAGTAATCCTTTGTGTCTCCATCACCCTGGGGGAGAGGTGACAAATGATGCCCTGTGTGAGGAGTTCCATGGATCAGAGACTGACCTGCCAAGACTTGGAAAATAATGAATGTCCAACATTTATATTTGCACATCCTGGTAAGGGAATCCTCAGCCCAGTAAGGGAATCAAGGGTGGCTTTCCATTAGCGACCACATGCCTGCAGCAGGTCAAGCTAGCTTTCAACCCAAAGTTTTTTTCCCTTTTTTTTTACTTTTAAAATATGGAAAATTCTTTAACAAAAGGGGAGACTCAACATAAATTAAAACTCCAATGTCTCCTTAAAGCAGCCGGCTGTAAAGTAACTGAATGGCAGCTTGTAAAACTGTTAGTGGTTATTAGACAACCATATTCTTGGTACCCCAAGGAAGGGAGCCTTCACATAAAATTTGGGGAACAAATTGATCACTGGTTAATTTATACAATGGGTCTCGTCAAGGTGTCCCATCTAACAACTTGGAATCTGTGCCAAGTCGCTTTGAGATCTATTCAAGACCTTAACAAAAAAAAAAAAGAAATGTTTATGTCACTGAAAAAGGTTAAAACTTAATCTTTGCCAGTAACTGAAAAAACTTTTAATTGGACAAACTAAGTAAAAGAAGTTAATATTTCCTTGCAATGTCAGTTTTGTTTGAGTATGTTTTCTTTTAACTGCATGTGCTTCTCTTCTTCGCCAAAGACTCTGAGGCCTTATGAAAAATGCAGCCCTGGCACCAACCAGACCTCCTTTTGGGTCTGCTGCCTTTCTCTGGAAACCCCAAAAGTCAAATGGCTTCATCTCTGTTTCACAGCTCACCCCTTAAGCTCAGTAACCCATTTGAGAAACGAAAACTAGACTAAAATCTACCTGTTTTTGTTACCTTACTTTCTCTAAAACAGGGTGAAGCCTCACAGATAAGCTTTAACATTCTTTAGAAACACAATTTAAATCTGACTGTCCTTTTAAA